GTAGTTGTTGAGGTATATTTGTATATAGGTGGGTAGGGATTGGTAGGTTGCACGTTAGGCAGTAGGTTATTTTGTAGTTAAGTGGGCAGGTGGGTTAGAAGGAGCCTAGGCATGTGTATAGAGGATAGTCTTATGTATGTAAATGTATTATTATAGGTAAGAACGTAGGAGGGTGGGTTTGTATGTGCAGTACGTCCACCTGGTAACTGGATGCTACGGTTTTAGGAATGTCTCCCATACATGGTCTCTATGCTTGCAGATAGTGAAAATAATCATTCTAAATTTTTCCTTCGAATTTGTAGTTGATTTGATGAAATTGGTTACCTTTCAAATCATGAGCTGATTGAGATTAATAAAGTAAATCTTTAAAAGTGTAGAAAAATTTTCACGAGTTGAAAAAAATAACAAATTAATCATGGCAAAGGGACGGTAGGGGGTGGAGGGTTTACTGCATTGTTCAATACACGGTTCAACGCCCACTGTGAGTTGTGCATGAGGACAACTGTGAAGGGGAATAACTCATAATAAACAATAAAATGGGGTGGGGTGCGCTCTAACAAAGTGTTCTAAATATATTGGAATTTAAATGACTAGCAGGATGTCATCACTAATGAGTGGGCCTTTGGGCAATTTTCTTTTCTGATTTTAATCATTTGGACTAAAAATCAGTCCCAAAATCTTCCTTATAATCATATGAATACTTCTGAAGAACGTTGAAAATGTATTTTATTACTTTGATGATACATGTGTTTACACTTCTATTTTTGAGGAAAATATAGAAACACTAAATAATCTTTTTAGAAAAGTTAAAGGACTCTGGGCTTAATGCAAAACTCAGATAACTGTACTTTGTGTTCTTCACTGTTACTATTTTAAGGAATAGTGTGGGAGAAGTGGTGCATTGACATGACTTCAGTAATATTGCGAAGATATTTCAAATGCTTAAGAGAGAGATTGTTTTGAATTGTGCAATATTAAAACTTAAATTACTTTTTTTTCTTTTGTGCTATTTCACATCCTTTGAATAACTGAGGAAAATACATGTAATAGGAACAAGCCGTCTTTAGTAAGGAAATTGGTTTAACTTCATTCGTGAAGACAATAGTAGATGTCATGGTAACTTGGATAGTTGGTTTTAAAAACAATTGGGGATTATAGTTTTTGGAATCGAAAATCAATATTTCTTCAACGAAAAATATTACAAGTGTACTTGGTTTGAAGGCCATATTTTAAAATAAAGAAGAAATTTGGAGTATTTTTATTTTTATTGTTTATATTTTTTTTAATGGATAGGTCAAGGCAAAAGATTTGTGTAGTTCAATAGCTCAATAGTATCTCATTAAATAAAGTTTTTTGTTTCAAAATTTCAAATCCGGTGCCACACTTAAAACCCAAATAATTTCATGAAACTATTACTAATACATCAAAAACAAAAGGTCATTACAAGATGTTATCTCAATTCATAGCTTGCGATGCATGCTTTAATGAGATCCGTGTGTTGAATTGATTGGTGGATCTTACTTTTTTAGTGTTAATATCCGTTAAGTTTACACAAATTTTAAAGTTTTTAGGATGGTTTCAATTCTAAAAAAACGTAAACATGTGAACATTATTTTAATAGTTTTTAAAATAATATTTTGTAAAATAAATTTGAATATTAACCTATATTCAAGACATAGAAGTTAAACGGACTGTTAACTAAATGGATATTTTTTACACCGAGTCTGGATATTTTGAGAAAATACCCGGTGGGTCCAAGTGTTACAACAAATAGTTAACTTTTTTTTTTAATAATATATGCCAGCTTTCAAACAATAGGATACAAACAGTCCTATTCAACATCCGTTTTTATTGATTAATATAAATCTCGCCAAAGCCTTAAGAAAAAAAAACTGAATCCAATTCAGACGTCAAGAATGAATGTTTGCTGCTTGACTATTTCTTTATTTGTTTTATTTTTTTTACTCAGTATAACTAATTTTAAACATCACCTGAATGTGGAGTTGGGGGAGGGCCAGTTGTAAAGAGAAAGCAGGACACACCAAAAGCAAATTATATAATATACCAGAAAATTCACTTATGTTAGCATCATGATAAAATTTAAAAGCGTCTTACACACAATCTCACAATTTTATATATTCATTTTGAAGCCATTGACAATGGAACAAAGTTGAAAGTATATTTCTATTTTATAAAAATACAGTTTGTTAAATTGTTATTTTGTTTCTGAAATATATCATCTTTTTAATAAAATATTGTATACAAATTGAAATAACGAAATCAATTCAAAATAAGACGCATATTAATGAAAACTCAATTCAATTTTTACACTTCTACATAAAATAAAATTGACCCCACATGAAATTACCCGGCAAGATATTGTTTTCATTTATTTTTTTAAAAAAATAAGTTTTTCATTCTGATTGTATTTAATTGATTTTTTCCATTATGCAATACTCAATATTTATTTTCCGCTGTCTAAAAATAAATTAAATTAATCTTTTAATTTTTCATATAGGAAACTTTAATTTTTAGCCCAGTATACGATATATTTGTTTGTCGTAATATTAATTTTGTTAACTATTCATTAAGGAGCAATATGTAAGCGGTAAAGTTAAGGTTTAGACAACATCATTTCTAGATGATAGGATGTAGAAATATGTGAAGTAAACTGTTAAGAAAAACTAATTCGTTGTAGATTTTGTAAATGGATCCTAGAATAATACTTAAAGTAAAAAGTTCAGTTGATTAAACACGTTAGAATTTGAAAACTCTTTGTGTACATTGAATTATTTTAATGCCATTTGCATACACCTTTTCTATTACAAGTAAAAATCCACCACTTTATTTTACAGGAAAAAAAAGAATGAACTACTTCTTTTGTCTTGTCCTTCTGATGATAGCAACCGCAACAGCATATGCACAGGTTAATAAATTAGAACATGATAATGATAAAGATTAACGAAAGCTAAATAGAAAATAAATAGATAGATAGATAGATAGATAGATAGATAGATAGATAGATAGATAGATAGATAGATAGATAGATAGATAGATAGATAGATAGATAGATAGATAGATAGATAGATAGATAGATAGATAGA